AAGGACTTCCTTTAACATTTCTTATAGTGTAGGTCTGCTGTGATTAATGCTTTCAGGTTTCTCTATCTAAAGAAGTCTTTATTTTGCCCTTGTTTATGAATTCTAGTGTGACAGATTTCTCCTTTTTAGTATTTGATGTTGCTCCAGTGTCTCCTTACTTGCATTGTTTCTAACAAAAAAAGTTACTGCTTTTATCTTCATTTGTTTATATTTATGGTCTTTTTTCCTCTGATTACTTGTAAGATTTTTTTCTATCACTGAGTTTGAGCTATTTGATTATGATATATTTTGGTGCAATTTCTTTTGTTTGTTATCATCAAGTTTGGAAAATTAATCAGCTGTTATTTCCTCAAAAATGTTTTCTGGTCCCCTTCCACTTCCTCCCGCAACCCCATACTCCAATTACACATAAAGTAGTCCACTTAAAGTTCTCCTAGTGCTCCCCAAGGATCTTTATTTTTTTTATTATTTGTTTCTTTTATTTTGAATAGCTTCGATTTCTGTGTCTTTGTAGTTACTAATCTCTCTTCTTCAATGCTTATTCTTCTGTTAATACTACCTGGTATATTTTTTAAAATCTCAAAACATTCTCATTTCAGCTCTAGAAGTTCCATTTAGGTTTTTTTTTTGTTTTGTTTTGTTTTTTGTTTTTTTTTTTAATGTCTTCCATATCTCTGTCTAAAGTTTTGAACATATGGAATACAATCATAAAATCTTTTGATGTTTGTCTGGTAACTCTAACAGCTCTTCTGGGTTGGTTTTAATTGATAATTTTTCTCCTTATTATGTGTTGTATTTTCCTGCTTCTCTGCATTGCCTGATAATCTTTATTGGATGCCACACGCTGAATTTTACCTTATTGGGTTCTGCATATTTTTATATTCATATAAAATATTCTTGAGCCTTATTCTGGGATGCAGTTAAGTTACCGGAAACAGTGTGTTCCTTTCAGGCCTTTTAAGATTTGTTAGGTGGACCCAGAACAACATTTGGTTTCAGGCTATTTATTCCCCACTATAGAGGCAGGAGCATTCTGAGTATTCTACCCAATGCCTCATGAATTATGAAGTTTTCCATTTTAATTGATATATTTATTTTTGAGTAGTGGTGCTGGTCTCCTGAATCCTTTTAGGTGATACTTTGACTGGCCTCAGATAGTGTCATCACACTTATGCACAGATTGGTACTTTTCTCAATACTCAAGAGGGAACCTCTGGAGTTTTCCTTCCTTCTTTGTGTATCTCTCTCCTCTCTAGTACTGTGTCCTGTGAACTCTAGTCACCTTGATTTTCCCAAACTCTCAGCTCTATCCCTGTAGTTCCAGGAATCTGCCGGGTTCCTCCTGTGTTTGGAAACTCTCAAGGCAGTAAGCTAGAGCAATTGTAGGTCTCACCTCATTTGTTTCTCAGAGATCACTTTTCTTTGTTACCTGAGGTTCAGTGTGTTGGAAACTTTTGTTTCATTTTGTCTGAATTTATTGTTTATTTAATGCAGGAGAGTAAATCCAATTATTGTTAACTCCATCTTGGCTACAGCTTGATCCTTTTGATATTTGTATTTTAAACTGTAAGCATTGTTCGGGCTGATCTAGCATAGCCTTACTCCAGGGCTGTGTTTCAAGGACCCGTGACCATGCTTTAGTTCAGTGATTTGTTGGGATGATTCGTATGACTCAGTAGCATAAATATGGCTAAAGAATATTACAGCAAAACATACAACAGAGGATCAGAAGAAAAGGAATATTCATAAGCAGAGTCCAGAGAAATCAGGTATAGGCTTCCAAGTCCTCCCTCTGTGATGATCATGCAGATGCATTTTCTCTTGTACTGTGAGACACAGAAACATGAGAAATGTCTAACCAGGGAGTCCTGCCGTCTTGGAGTCCAGAATTCCTAAAGGTTGCCGATCACGTTGGCCTTTACCTGCCATGTGACCAGCTATAGTATAGGCCCCACACTAGGCACTTCGTACACATCATTAATTTTCATGTTTCTTTAAACAAGATAGACAGTTTGGTATCTCTTGTCCCAGTGCTCTGGGCACACAGAATAACATGATTAGTCAGTGACTAGGCACACAGAATTATGTCAATAATCAGTGACCATGGAAGCATTCAAAGGTTTCATTTTCAGAGCTTGTTCAAGAGTCAGAACCAAGGATCTAGGCATCCCTGGAATTTATCAAGGAATGAGCCAATGAGACCTGCTGTTTAAACTCTTTCCTCACAGTCTAGACCTGCCCTGCTCCTAAAGTGTCCTGGAGCTGTCTGTGGGAGCTGACTGTGCACATAACTTCTCTATTCAGCTACGTTGGTAACCTTGCATTGCCTGTGGAGATTGTATTTACACCAGATTTGTGGTATTTCTTTTCTCTGCAGCTCCCTCCTCTCCAGTATCTATACTGCAGATTCCCTGCCTCAGTAGTTGTGAACTTTCAACTTTATCTCCTCAGCTCAGTAGGACCACTGCTTTGGTAGAGCCCTGCCTCCCTGCTCTGCAGTCTGGACAGTGCCTCAGGCAAAAAATTAAGGGAATTCTGGGGCTCATGTTAGTGTTTCCCTTCTCTCAGTATCACTTCTGTCCTGCCTGCTGTTTAAAATATGAAATCACTTGTTTCAGATATATTGTTCAGTTTTATTTACATTGGGAGAGCTATCCCAGTTGCTTTGTCATAGTTAGAGGGAAAAGTCCTAATGATTTATATTTTTATATATGATTTATATATATATAAATACATTTATATTTTTTAGAACAAAGTTAATGTTCTCTCACTTAGTTTTAAATACATAGTGATTAAAAAAAGCAGGAAGTTCCCTGCATTGCCTGTAGGTCCCACTACCCAGTCCCACCAATAGCATTTGGTTGAGCATTCTTTCAGATTTTTTTGTTTAGTTACATATAAACTAACTTTCTATTCATAAAAAGAAAAGTAGGATCATATCCTAGAATGCAGTGGTATGATCACAGGTCACTGCAACCTCAAATTTCTGGGCTGAAACAATCCTCCCACCTGAGCTTCCTGAGGAGCTGCGACTACAGGTGTGTGCCACCATGCCCAGCTTATTTCTATTTTTATTTTTAGTGCTGATGAGGTCTCACTATGTTGCACAGGTTGGTCTTTAACTCTTAGGCTCAAGCAGTCCTCCCACCTCGGTCTCCCAAAGTGTTGAGATTACAGGTGTGAGCCACCATTCCTGGCGTCCTCGTTTTAATGTGTACATATTTTCTAATGAGTACATATAGATATACCTCATTTGATAAATGTCTATATAAAACTGTTTCAGTATGGATGTGCCATATATTTTTTAACTGCTGTCTTATTAATGGACATGTAAGTTTGATTTTTTTTCCTTCCACACAAATGATGTTGCAATGGCAATTGTACATATGTCTTTGTACCTCAAGGTGTTTCTGAAGAATAGATTCCTAGAAGCAGGAAGACCAGACCGAATGGTATATCCATTTAAGTTTTGATAGATCTAGTCAGATTTCCCCCCAGATAGATTGCATTTGGGTTCCGTTTCCACCAAAGTACACATGAGCATTTCAGCAGTGTTACCCAGTCTGATATTTTACTGTTCAACTATATTTTTAGGGCAGTGGGGCATATTTTCATGGTTTCACATTTTCTTTGGTGACTTGCCTGTTTGGCTTGTTGGCCTTTATTGTTGTTATTGTTGTGGATAGTTCATCTTTTTTCCCCCCACTTAATTTTTAGTTGACATGTAATAATTGTAGATATCCATGGGATACAGAATGATATTTTGAAACATGAATACAATGTGTAATGATAAAATCAGGATAATTAGCATATCCATCACCTTGAATATTTATCATTTCTTTGGGTTGTGAACATTCAGAATCCTCTCTTCTACTTTTCTGTGATTATACTCTAAATTATTGTTAACCCAACTTATTCCTTCTTTCTACCTGTAACTTTGTAACTATCAACCAGTCTTTCCCTAGCCTTCCCTCCTCACTACCCTTCCCAGCTTCTAGTAAGCAGAATTCTACTCTCTAGGAATTTGCTTTGTTTTTGTTTTTGTTTGCTCCTATATATGAATGAGAACATGCACTATTTATCTTTCTGTGCCTGGCTTATTTCATTTAACATAATGTCCTGCAGGTTCATCCATGTTACCACTAATGACAAGATTTTATTTTTTAACGGCTGAATGGTATTCCATTGTGTGTATATACCACATTTTCTTTATCCATTCATCTGTTGATGGACATTTAGGTTGATCTGCAGCTTACCTGTGGTCAGTAGAGCTGCAGCAAACATGGAGGTGCATGTGTCTCTTTGGTATACTGATTTCCTTCACTTTGGATAAATACCCATTAGTGGGATTGCTGGATCATATGGTAGTTCTGTAGTTTTTTTGAGACAGTGCAAACTGTTTTCCATAATGGTTGTACTAATTTACATTTCCACCAGTGGTGTATCCTTGCCGGCATTTGTTATTTTTTTTTCTCTTTGACTAACTGGGGTGAGATAATATCTCATTATGGTTTTGATTTGCATTTAGTGATGTTGAGCATTTTTCATATATTTGGGTGTTTATATGTCTTCTTTTGAGAAATGCTTATTCAGATACTTCACACACTTTTTAATGTTATTATTATTATTATTTTTGCTGTTGATTTGAATATATTCTGGATATTAATCCCTTGTGAGATGAATAGTTTGCAAATATTTTCACCCCTTCTGTGGGTCATCTTGAACTCTGTAGATTGTTTTCTTTACTGTGCAGAAGCTTTTCAGTTAAATTGCCTTTTGTTTGTGATGTCTTATAAATGTTTTACATTGTTATGTGGTTATATCTACTGATCTCTTTCTCCATCGTATACGTTTTGCCTTCCAGATTTCAAGTTTATATAAGTATTTTCCTGTTTTTAATTCTATTTTATTTTGACTTTTTCTTTAAAATTTCACCTTTAGCTTGGTAGGAATTTTTGTGTGTGTTGTGAAGTAAGGATCTCACCTTAGTTTTTTTTCATAGATAGTCATTTGTTATGGTATGATTTAGTGACTAATCCATCTTAACTAATTTCACTTTTAACTTTGAACTTACTTTTAACTAATTAACTTTTAACGAATTTGAAAGCTGCTTAATGCCTTTCAATTCTTATAAATATGAGTGTTTCTAGATTGTCTATTTTATTTATTTCATTTTGTTTTATTCCATACTAGGCGATTTTGTAATTATTTTATCTATTGAAATGTATTAGGGCAAGTCTTTTCACCTCTCTTTTTCGAAAAACCGTTGGCTATTCTTGCACATTGTAGGTAGTAAAAAATATTATAGATGATAATAGTTAAACCATTAATATTTAACATAACTTGGTACACAGAAATCATGATGATAATGATGATGATGAAGGACGACAACAACAACAATGGCCATATTGACTGAGTACTTTTTATATGCCGTACGTTAAATTAAGCATTTCACATGGAACATTTTATTTAATTCTTACAATAACCCAATGGATGAAGCACTGTTTTTACATTTTAGAGGAGAAAATGTCGAGTCCATTTTGCAGACATCCTGTAGACTGCCTTACTTCTTTCAGTATTGCTAACTTTACCCCTTTCCTAGGCAAATGCTGATGGCTAAGCAGAAATATGTTTGGTATTTCAGGAATCAGTGACTTTCAAGGATGTGATAGTGGACTTTACCCAGGAAGAATGGAAACAGCTCGATCCTGGCCAGAGAGACTTGTTCAGGGATGTGACATTGGAAAATTACACACACCTGGTCTCTATAGGTAAGGATAACTTCTCTGAGTTAATTTCAAGGGGTGTAGAGGGGGAGGGTTCTCTCTTGTGCTCAGTGGAGTTGGCCTTTAAGTTTAGTAACCAACAATTTCTAAATTTTGAAAGATTTTGAAAAGGTTTCTACCTTCCTAGCAAGCAGAGGGACAAATTAATAATTTTCCTGAACCCAGATCAGTTCCCAAATTATACTCCCACCATGTCTGGGAACTGGTAACACTGAAGCTTGATGTGCTATCCATTCGCATCAACTTTTACTACGTGTCATTTCTTCTAAAGACAAAGTGGTGATTGAATTCTGATATGGTACTCTTCCCTTACTGCAGGTTTCTTTCTTTTTTCCCCAATGAACAGGACTCCAGGTTTCCAAACCTGATGTGATTTCCCAGTTAGAGCAAGGGACAGAGCCATGGATCATGGAACCAAGCATTCCAGTAGGTACCTGTGCAGGTAAGTAATAGATGCCAGCAGATGAATGTCATTAACTCTGTCAGCCTGCTAAGGGAGGATTTTAGGTCTGAAGTGTAGATGTACTTCCTTCCCTTTAAAGTATTTCTTGTAGAGAAATGAGGAACCATCAGTTTTCTGGACTTCCTTATGCTTTCTTATGTCGCTAATTGTTACAGTATAGTCTACCTTATGCCCCTTTTCAAGGAGCTGTCCTTCCTACCTTTTTATGAAGTCCACCTCTCGAACTGGACTCTGAATTACATCTCTTTGTACTTCTTTTGGGACCATGATCTCATAATTATCACCATACTTTTCAGTCCTTAAAGATTTTTTTTTTTTATTTTTGATCTGCAGGCTCTAGTCCTAGTTCCTTTAAGTAGAAATATATAACCTATATTTCCAAACAGATTTACTCCACAATATTAATCTTTCTGGCCACCATTCAGTCTCTCTTTTCGTTCCCAACCAAACTCAACAAAAATGAACTCCATACCTGCAGGCTTCATTTCTTTATCACCTAATCTTTTCCTGGTAACATGTATAACTTCTAATTTTTTTTTTTTTGAAACAGGGTCTCACTCTGTTGCCCAGGCTAGAGTGCAGTGGTGTAATCTTGGCTCACTACAGCTTCTGCCTGTGAGGCTCAAGCAATCCTTCCACCTCAGGCACCTGAGTACAAAAAAAATACAAAAATTAGCCAGGCGTGTTGGGATGCACCTGGAAGTACAGGTACATCCGACCACGCCTGGCTAATTTTTGTATTTTTAGTGGATACAGGGTTGCACCATGTTGCCCAGGCTTGTCTTGAACTCCTGGGCTCAAGCTCAAGTGATCTGCCTGCCTCAGCCTCCTAAGATGCTATAATTACAGGTGTGAGCCACTGCACCCAGCTAGCTTCTGATTTTATTACTTTATCATACTGTCTTTTAAATTATTAATAACTTTCTTCTAAGTCATCCGTTTCCAAACTGCATGAAGTAACCTAAGGACCTGACCCTGGAAAAATACACAGACCTAGTCATTCTAGGTAAGGGATACATCTCTAGAGTTAATGGGATGTAGGCGAGGTTCTTCTTTATGTGGGAAAAATGTGTGCCATATTCACATTTTAGCAAGTTTCTAACTGGAGTACCACTCAGAGATTTTTTTTTTAATAGGCAGCTAGTTGTTTTGAATATTCAAAAGGGTTGCATAGAATGTAACATCCCCCAACCGTGCCCTGCCTCTAACTGTGAATACCTTTTTTTTTGTATCGCATCTTTAAAAATCTTTCCCTTAGAATGATTTCATGGAACATACTTTAGAAAGCTTAATTAAAAAAAAAAAAAAGAACTTTATTAACTGAGGCTTACGGTTAGTTAACTTTTGGAAAAAGCAAGTTGTCCTAGTTTTATTACAAACAAAAAATGAAGTTTTAAAAAATCACAACTTGACCAGATAGAAAACCATTTTAAACCATTTAAATGTATATTGAAAAACTTAGGCTTTTTAAAAAATACTTTTTACCAAAAATATTTATTTAGGCAAAAATAATTCCCCCCCCCACCCATGTGGCATAGATAATGTATATAGTTCCAGTTATCTGGTTGTCAGTGAACAGAAGGCAAGCATTTGAGATATTTAGCTGCATTCTTTTGGTTACTTTTTATTGCTGGAATTTGACCTGATAATGATATTCATGGTAAATCAGCCCTCAGTTCTATCTTTAGCAGCATCTAGAATAGATTTATTCTTAGCTGGTCAGTTGGTTGCCTTTGTCTTTATAAAAATGATGTATAGTTTTGTAGATGTCTCTACAGGTAACTGACACTGTGACAGCATGTACATTGAGGTGACCACTAGCCCTGGGCGTAATTTCCCTCATCCTCTTCATTGCCATCTTCTTGGAGCTGTCTTGATGATCCTGCCCCTCAGAATCATGATCTATAACCCTGATACATATCTGTCTCACTGGTCTACCTTTCTCTTGCCCACTGGTTGTCAACATCCTTGATTACTTCTCCATGCATGGGATGTCAGAATACTATGGTCAATGTCTGTAGACTTTGTATGTAGTAAAGGGGGAATTACTTTCTGCAGTAGGGATGGTATTGTTCAATCTGGTCTTCTGGAACTTTCTCCATCCCTTCATTCTTTGCCCTACCCTTTATATTCCAGTAATTCTGTTGGTTACTGAGTAGAGGACATGACAACGTGGATGATAGCGGCCATGGTCTGTTTCATGTTGCCTTCAAGTGGAACCCCAACCAGGGTTGGAGATCTGCCACTTCCATGCACTGTTGTTTAACAGCATCAGACTCCATGGTCTCCATATCTTTCACTGTGAAGTACTTCCAGAGGTATTCTTTATGGCCACCTGCTATGCAAACATACCTTCCTTGGTGTCATTTCTGTTGATGAAAACATATTTCTTTCTTGAACAATGGGCTGTTTCCAAAGTCTGTATTGTATTGATCTTGTCCCTGCTGCTGAAATTCTGCTGCAATGATGCTGCCTACACTAATACATGCTGTGCTATTACCCGTGTTGCCAGGTGTGGAGGGGATGCTAGTCGGCTCTGGGTTCTGCCCCAGTGCTCATGCTTGCAGTGATAGTGATAATGATAGTGACTGGGCTTGCAATATGGGAAATACTCAGGATCCTCTGGGGTCTGCTGTAAACTCCCGATACCATTGAAACAGAAGAAATGCTGTTTTAAGCGAAGCTTTGTTCTTAAGCATATTGCCAGCATTCACTACCCTGCTTCTTTTAGTTGTCATCTCACTTGTTTTGGGCAACAGTTTACTTCCTGATTATATACTTCTCTGGTTGTGTTTCTTCTACTGTTTTGTGCATTTGCTGATAAATTGCTTTCTTTCATTAATATATTAATTCTATTACCCTAACTATTCTCAAGGATCTTCCCTCTGCCTCTGCTCTTTTTCACTTATATTTCTAAGGCTTTAGCTATTCTTGTCCTTCCTCTTTATAGCTGATACTTCCCATCCTACATTTGAACATCCTGGTTATTCTGATGTTGGCATCTTTCACTTCCATAGACACTAGTATAATCTAGCCCTCCATTTCTTTTCTTGATTCTCAAAATGCCTAGACTTGAACTTGTTAGTTTCTCCCTGCTAAATTATTTCCTCTACTATTTACAACCCTCCCGTATCTACCAATGACGTGATTATTTGTTCAGTGTTCCAGGCTAAAACACATAGGGTCTTAGCTAATTCATCTTTCCTGTTTGTTCTGTCTTTAAATCGTGGTTCTTGGATTTTTGTTTTGTTGTTTATTAGCAAGGAATCCCAACTCAAACTGCCCCCTTCAGATTCAGTTTATCTCTGTCTACTCTTAGCCATCTCTGTTGTCTCCTTTTTAATCAACTATTATCTTAAATGTAGTTCCTTACGGTTTCTTGGATATTATCTGTAAAATTGAATTTGACATTTCTTTTGCCACTTTATTTATTCTCCTTAGCTCCTTCCATCTTTCTTCCCAAATAATATGGCTATATATTTGAAAACCATTAGAATTTTCTGAGGGCTTTATTTTTTAGTATAATTAGATTATTCCCCCAATATCAGCTTATTTTTTCTCTATTCAGATAACAATGGAATTTTCTTTTTCTTTTAGACCAGGAGACAAGACCTGAAAATAATGTATCAGCCCCACAGCCTGACATTTCTGAAGAAGAGCTATCTCCAGAGGTAATAGTGGAAAAACACAAAAGAGATGATGCTTGGAGCTCCAACGTGCTAGAAAGTTGGAAATATGAAGGCAGTTTAGAGAGGCAGCAGGCAAACCAGCAGACACTGCCAAAGGAAATAAAAGTAACTGAAAAGACAATACCCACTTGGGAAAAAGGTCCTGTAAATAATGAATTTGGGAAGAGCATCAATGTGGTTTCAAACCTTATAACCCAAGAACCATCTCCTGAACAGACCTCTACTAAAAGAAGCATCAAACAGAATTCAAACCCAGTTAAAAAGGAGAAGTCTTGTAAGTGCAATGAATGTGGGAAAGCTTTTAGTTATTGTTCAGCTCTTATTCGTCATCAGAGAACACATACTGGAGAAAAACCCTACAAATGTAATGAATGTGAAAAAGCCTTCAGCCGGAGTGAAAACCTTATCAACCATCAAAGAATTCATACTGGAGATAAACCATATAAATGTGATCAGTGTGGAAAAGGCTTCATTGAGGGTCCATCTCTTACTCAACATCAAAGAATTCATACTGGGGAAAAACCATATAAATGTGATGAATGTGGGAAAGCCTTTAGTCAGAGGACCCATCTTGTTCAGCATCAGAGAATTCATACTGGTGAGAAGCCATATACTTGTAATGAGTGTGGAAAAGCCTTTAGCCAGAGAGGCCACTTTATGGAACATCAAAAAATTCATACAGGAGAAAAGCCTTTTAAATGTGATGAATGTGATAAAACTTTCACCAGGAGCACACACCTCACTCAACATCAAAAAATTCATACTGGAGAAAAAACCTATAAATGTAATGAATGTGGAAAGGCCTTTAATGGGCCCTCAACTTTTATCCGTCATCATATGATTCATACTGGTGAAAAACCGTACGAATGCAATGAATGCGGGAAAGCCTTCAGCCAGCACTCAAACCTTACCCAGCATCAAAAAACACATACTGGGGAGAAACCCTATGATTGTGCGGAATGTGGAAAATCTTTTAGTTACTGGTCATCCCTTGCTCAACACCTGAAAATTCATACCGGAGAAAAACCTTACAAATGCAATGAATGTGGAAAGGCCTTCAGTTACTGCTCATCCCTTACTCAACATCGGAGAATTCACACAAGAGAAAAGCCCTTTGAATGCAGTGAATGTGGAAAGGCTTTCAGTTATCTTTCAAACCTTAATCAGCATCAGAAAACTCATACTCAAGAGAAAGCTTATGAATGTAAAGAATGTGGGAAAGCTTTTATTCGGAGTTCATCTCTTGCTAAGCACGAAAGAATTCATACTGGAGAGAAACCCTATCAGTGTCATGAATGTGGGAAAACCTTCAGTTATGGTTCATCCCTTATTCAACATAGGAAGATCCATACTGGAGAACGGCCTTACAAGTGTAATGAATGTGGGAGAGCATTCAACCAGAACATACACCTTACACAACATAAGAGAATTCATACAGGAGCCAAGCCTTATGAGTGTGCAGAGTGTGGTAAAGCCTTTCGACATTGTTCATCACTTGCTCAACATCAAAAAACTCACACAGAAGAAAAACCCTACCAGTGTAATAAATGTGAAAAGACCTTTAGCCAGAGCTCCCATCTAACTCAGCATCAACGAATTCACACTGGAGAGAAACCCTATAAGTGCAATGAATGTGACAAAGCCTTTAGCCGGAGCACTCATCTGACTGAACATCAGAATACTCATACTGGAGAGAAACCTTATAACTGTAATGAATGCAGGAAGACTTTTAGCCAGAGCACATATCTCATTCAGCACCAGAGAATTCATTCAGGAGAGAAGCCTTTTGGATGTAATGATTGTGGAAAATCCTTCAGATATCGTTCTGCTCTCAACAAACATCAGAGACTGCACCCTGGCATATGACCATTCTAGGAACATCATAAATTTAGGAAATATATTTACTTTAGTTTGTCCTTTTGTAAAGTACTGAAGAATCACAGTGGATTTAGAAACTACTTGAAATCTTTTAAATTTTCACTATCATGCTATGGAATGGAAGGTGCATTGAGCTGAACTAATCCAATTGTTATTAAGCCGCTTTGTGACATTAGAAAACTCAACTGTTTTAAGCTTAGTTTCCTTTGTGGAATGAAGGATTTGGATTAGATTATTTCAAAGGTAGTTTGGAGTTTTATAATCAGTTTTGTATATTTACAGTATTTTCTTGAATGGGTTTACTATACATCAGCATTTTGCTGTGTTGCATCTAGAATGTGTATGTTTATGCATGCTTTGCCAATCAAATTTGTGCTTTAGTAACTAGATTGGGGAGCTAGTGTGCTCCTGCTCTAATGTGTTTAAGTTGTTTAGGTAAATGGTTCCTAATAAAAAGAATTATAAAACACCCTCAGATTAACAATTCAGCTGCGTACAATAGCCTAACTTAGTAAGAGTATTAAAACTTACCATTATTCCTCTTCTAGTCTGTTTTTAATGTTCTAGGAGTTTATCACAACTACAGAGGTCCACTTCTAGAACTTAAACCGGTGTTATTTTACCCTGGTTGTATATTGGAGTCACCTGGTGTCTTAATTTGTGCTGTTATGTTAAATTATAATAGACTAGGTGTCTTAAACAATAGAAATTTTTCTCACAGTTCTAGAGGCTGAGAAGTCCAAGATCAAGGTGCTGGCAGATCCAGTGTCAGATGAAGGCCCACTTCCTCTTTTCAGACAGCATCTTCTTATGTTCCTACATGGTGCTAAGCAGAGACAGAGCAAGCTCTCTTATATCTTTTCATAAGACTATAACCCAATTGGTGAGAGCTCTACCCTCATGACCTAATCACCTCCCAAAGGACCCCCTCCTGATACCATCACATTGCAGATTAGGCTTTCAACACAGAAATTTAGAGAGGACATTTTAAGTCTATAAGGAGAACTCTACAAAATTCTCTTGCCAAGGCCCTACAACTACAGAGACTAATTTAATTGCCTTAGGAGATATGACCCAGGCATCAGTGTTTTTTCTTAAATTCCTAATGTGTACACCAGAAACAAAAATTGGCTTGTATTTTTGTACCTACTCCATTAATTAGCAGCTGCTTATGGCTGCTTCTAAAAGCTTCACAGATTAGCTGTTCAGTACACATAATATAATATTGACTGCCATCCCGTTTTATAAATGGGTTTCTCACAAGCTGTGGGAGGTAGGGTTAATTTACTTCTTCGTCAAAGTGCAAAATTAAATGGCGTTGTGAAGCAATGGTCATTTCACTTGTCCTTTGCCACTTCAGGTTAGAAACAGATGATAGATGATAGTGCAAATGACACCCCCAGAGACATGCAGCCTACAGCTTATGTGATCATTTGTAGTGGCCCTGGTTATGATAATATTTGAACTACAAATAAATATGGGTGACCCCTTAGATTTTCTCCTGATAGAAATATTCTAATTATTAGGTCAGTTCTTCTAAGAGCAGTTGATAATTTCCCAGTCTAGTCTTGAGTACAGAGAGCTCTGAGAACAGAGGGTAGCACAGAAATTGATCATTATTTATATTTTAAAACTTCATTTAGCCTCTTTCCATAAACAAGTTTGGGAAGGGAGGCACTGCAGATTTTTGCATGTGAAAAAAATCATTGCAGTCCTTATTGCTTCTATAAATGTCAGGGAACTGCATAGGGATGTTTGTCACCTTCTTAACTGAAGATGCCAGACAGTGAAAAGCAGATACAACTCAGGAAATAATATAACCATTTAAACCTCAGGACTTTTTTTCAGTTGTAATTTGAAACATCTGTAAAGGAATGTCATCTTGGTATTTCTTAGTTTCTCAAGGCTTTCATTATGTAGGAATTAGTTATCCCATTGCAGGGTGGTAGAAACTGTTAGAGAAAAGTAGGTATCAAATTATAGGATAATCTTTACTTGACACCTGAGCCACCCCACAGTACAAGGAAATGAAGTTTCTGTAGGTGAGGGGTTTTCCTGTATCAAAGGAGATCCCCAAATGGAAAACACCAGAGTCTGTAATGGGAAGACTTACATCACTGATTCCTTTTAGAAATATATGTGGAAATTTTTCACCAGCCCTGAAAGATCCACTTTGTCCCACTAATTTTATCTCTTCATACTGTCAAGTGAAACCCAGAGCACTCATATGTGATCACCACCTAATTTAATTAATCTTTTTTAAAAAAGTGATCTGGCTGAGCATGGTGTATAATCCCAGTGTTTTGGGAGTCCATGGCAGAAGAATTGCTTGGGACCAGGAGTTCAAGACCAGGCTGGGCAATATAGAGAGACCTTGTCTCTAAAAAAATAAAATTAGTTGAGTGTGGTTATGCATTTCCACATGATCCAGGAGTTTAAGGTTACAGTGAACTGTGTGTCAGTGCATTCCAGCCTCGGTGACAGAAGGAGACCCTGTCTCTATAAAACTAAAAGTAAAAATAGTTTTTTTAAAAGTGATCCTTCACGCCTCCCTCTGTTTGCTTGTCCTTCATCTTCCCATACTTTGGAAATGTACTGACCACCCTCAGATAATACAGGTCTGGAGAAAGGACAGTCAGTGAGTTTACAGAAGTTGACATGTTCCTGGTTTCCGTATCTCCTTTTTGTATTTCTCAAACATATCTCTAATGGTTATTCTAGAGCACATTCCTGTTTCCCAAAGCAGGTGGATTTACAGTTGCGCCTTTTGCTTAGACATGTCTATCTAACTACACAGGTAAACTAAAGTTTGTCCTTTATTACCTGAGATAGACGTTAGTCACATATTTACTATTTTTCCTCCTTACCTCTGTTTTAAGAGCAAAGGCAGGAAGTTATTTTAAACCATTCCTTAGTCTTTTTCTTGATTGTAATATATACATATATGCCATAAACATCTAGTATAATACAAACATTAGTTTCTTAATATTTATACTGAGAGAGTAGAGCAAAGTTAAAATCCTTCTTTTTTTTTAATTTAAGGGACAGGATCTTGTTCTGTCACTCAGGCTGGAGTGCAGTAGCATGATTGTAGTTTACTGCAGCCTCAAACTGGGCTTAAAGGATGCTCCTGCCTTGGCCTCGCAAGTAGCTGGAACTACAGGTACATGCCACCATGCCTGGCTAAGTTTTAAAAATTTCTGTAGAAATGGCATCTGGCTATGTTGCCCAGGCTGGCCTCCAACTCCTGGTCTCAAGCAATCCTCCCACCTCGACCTGTCAAAGTGTTGGGATTATAGGTGTAGCTGCCACCCTTGGCCCAAAATTAAAATCTAAGGGGAAAATTGGCAGAAGTTATAACTTTTTCCTTGAAGTTGCAATGAACCCAGAAAATAACAGGGATTCCATTTACCTTACAGGTTTAACATTCACTAACAAACTGCCCAGAAATAAAAAATATCTCGGAAGTTATCAATAAAGCCGGCCAGTTCTTTATGCGGCAAGGAATTGTCTACTATTAAAAAAAATTCTAATACCTTGATGTGTGATTTATTTGGATGTTTTAGTGTCCAAGATTGGACATATACGGACTAAGCATTTTCCTCTAGGTCCTAGATTGGCACTTTCCAGGTCTGCCAGATTATAGTTATTAAACTACTGGAGTAGTTTTTGCCAAATCACTGTGAAGGAAGCAGAAAAGAGAGAAAATGTCACCTAACCCAGTCACTCATCCTTAAATATTTAAGACTTAATTAATTCAACCACAGCCAATGCTTATTAAGTGGCTGAGTTTATTATACTTGCAGGGGTTCAGAAATAGACAAAGGCAAATACTCTGTTGCAGAGCTCACATCCTGTTATAAAGAAAATTGTAAAATGCCAAGTGGTGATAAACATAGATAATAAAGCAAGGTGAAGGGCTTGGGCAAGACTTCTATCATGGGTTGTGGTGGAGCTATTGTAGATTAAATGATTAGGAAATGTCTTTCTAATGAGTTGTCATTGGAGCACGCACCGGGAGGAAGCAAAGGAATGAACTAGGTAGATACCTGAGAGGAGAACATTCTAGGCAGAGGGACTAGCAGCCACAGCGGTTCTGAGATCCGAGCATTTGGCAGTTTCGGAAACACTGGCTGGACTGTAGTGAGTGAGTGGTAGGAGATGAGGTCAGAGAGAGAGCTAGGGGTGCAGTTCCTCAGGACCTTCTTGGCTATGGCAAGGATTTGTCCTTCAATTCAGAATGAGATGGCAAGTCACTGGAGAGTGTTGGGTGGGGATTTGAATTGCTTAAAAAGGGTCACTTGCTGTAATGTAGGGAATACATTATAAGGGGTTAAGAGTACAGGCAGGGAATTCAGTTGGAATGCTAGTAGTCCAGGTAAGATCTAATGGTCGCTTAAACAAAGATATTATTGACAAAACGATAGGAAATAGTTGGATTAAGGCTATATTTTGAATGTACAGCAGACAAGGTTTGCTGATGGTTTAGCTATAAAGGTGAGAGAGAGAGAAGTTAGGGTGGCTTTAAGGACTCTGGCCCGAGCAACTTGAAAGGACTTGCTGTGTACTGAGACAGAGAATACCAAGTACGGAGAAGGTTCACAGACGGCATAAGGCATCAGAATTCAGTTTGGGAACTTTTTAACTTATTAAAAGAATACAAAATATAAATGTGCAAAGTGAACATATCTGTAAAATTATCATCTAGGTCAATAAATGGAGCACTACTAGTGTTCCAGTAATGCTATTTCATCCCTCAAGTCACAGCCTTTTTCTTCCCCAAAGGTAACCATTATCCTGAGTTTGAATATTAACAATTAGATATGGTGAGGGCCTTTGTGCTACATCATCCGATGGCAGACTCACGTGATGAGAGACAGCGACAGTGTGTGAGACAGAAAAAGCGGCAGACACCCATGATAACTAAGCCACTCCTGTGATAATAGTATTAATCTATTCACGAGGGCAAGGCCCTTATTACCTAATCACATTTTTTTTTTTTTTGAGACAGTTTTGCTCTTGTCACCCTGGCTGGAGTGCAATGGCACAATCTCACCTCACTGCAACCTCCAGCTTCCTGGGTTCAAGCGATTCTCCTGCCTCAGCCTCCTGAATAGCAGGAATTTCAGGCATCTGCCACCACGCCTGACCAATTTTTCTATTTTTAGTAGAAACGGGGTTTCACCACATTGGCCAGGCTGGTCTCAAACTCCTGACCTCAGGTGATCTGCCCACCTGGGCCTCCCAAAGTGCTGAGATTACAGGCATGAGCCACAGCGCCCAGCCAACCTAATCACTTTTTAAAGTTCCCACCTCTTAATACCATCACATTGGCAATTAAATTTCAACATGAAGTTTGGAAGAGACATTCAAACCCTAGCATTTTGCCCCTGACCCTCAAAACTCGTGTTCTTTTCACACAGAAAATACATACATTCCATCCCAATAGCCCCACAATTCTTAACTAAGTCCAGCACCAACTCAAAAGTCGAGTCTCATCTGAATCAGATGTGGGTTGAACTCAAGGCATGATTCATCC